TGTGTGTGTGTGTGTTTGTGTGTATGGGTGATTCGTTTAATTAGTTAGTTAGTGCAATCATAGTGGTTGCAGTAGGAGAGCAGTCGCAACAGTAAATATAGTGGTAAATAGCTGTAAATAGTTTTTCTTTTTCCATTTCGTTTTATAATGGTAATAGTATAATAGTAATAATTATATCGTAGAAGTAATTAATAATAGTAACAATAATTGTAGCCTTAAACATGCCTAATAATTAACTATTATAAATCCGAGGTAAAAAATAAACTAGTTTTCACATTATTTGATGCGATACAAGCCGTACAGAAACCCGTCTGACGGTTGTGAAAGTTCTTATGATACAATTCGTTTACGTACTTTTCTTTTTCATTAATCGTTAAAAAAAAAGAACAAAAAAATTCATCATCATTATTATAGTTACACATTGTTGTTCGTCCACGATCTTGTCCTGTTCCCTTCCGTAATTATTTACCTCGAATCGGAAGCAGAAAAGGACCAGGTGGACGAACAACAACTAAAGTCAAAAAGCGACACAGAGTATAAACACGAAGAAAAAAAAAATACAGAAAAAGAGAAGGGGGGAAAAATAGACAATAAATGTCTAAAAGACAAAACTACTACAATGATATGACGTGAAAAAGAAAAAGAAAATGGTTGAAATAAAGATGCTTAAGGAAACTGCACCCTGCTGTCAAAGAGTCAATATAGATTTTATACATACATCATATTAAAAAGATCTATTCTTTTATACTTTACACTATCTATGTAGTTTAGATATAATAATTCAGCCTGGGTGTCTGTGTGTCTCTCAGCAGTGAACACGTCTTACTTTTAAATTGTCTCGTTTAATAATTACTAAATACATGCGTTCTCGTTTCCTTTCGTCGTTACTTTTCGTTTCCCTTTTCTTTCTGTTTCATTTGTTTAAATTCAGTCGAATCCATTCGTCGGTGTTACCCAGCATATCAACTATGTTTTTGTTGTGTTAATAAATTACGAGATCGTGGAGGGACGGGTGTCTCGAATGCTCGACGGCCAAAATTCGCTGGCCGATCTACCACTGGAGACCATTAATAATTAATAGAGCTTCCATGATTTAAACATTATTATTCTTAGTGTCGAATTACCGAAGAGTGTTCACTAACTGTTAATTATCAATAAAAAGAGGTGAACGAGCATCGAATAAATTTGTGCCGTCCGCTGAGTAGCGATTCTCAAAAAAAAAACCTTAAGATATCTCATTCACCCCCATCGTATAAATGCTGTTTAAAGTAATTAATGATTCCCAGCATTCAGTATTGTTTTGTTCTTTACACTCGCTTCTTACTGTATCCTTGTTCAGTTACTTATTCATTTTCTTTCATGATCATCGTTATCAGCATCATCCGTAATCATCATCACTATTATCATCGGTTAAATAGTTTCGCTTAATTTCAACTGTCGATTCTAGTTTACTCTTAAAATACTTCTACAACGTTCCGCTTCCTACCCTCTATCCCAGTGCCATACACAAAAGAAAAAAATGGAGTTCGCTTGCACCATGGGTGTGTTTGTTTGTTTTTCTTTTTCTCTTTTCCTTTTTTTTTTTTTAAATCGTCGATCGTCGTTTATATTCTGTCATCATGTTATACGATTTTTTTTCTGCTTTTCAATTTATATATATATATATATATTTATTTTGTATTTTTTACCTCTTCTTCGAACGAGCACGATAAATTGTTTTTTTTTTTTAAATGTGTGTGTTTCCATTTCGTTTCGAAACCCGACAAGATCATGGGCCGTTCTCGCGAGCGATCAATGAAATCAATGCGTCGACAACCGAAGGTGAACCTAACCACCACCCACTCCTCTTCCGTAACTTTTCCGATTTTTGTTTACAAAACTTTCGGCAGATGTGCCGTTTTTTACCTTTTTCTTTTTTTCCTTTCTTTTTGTCGGGCACTCTCTCTTTCTAGCTCTCTCTCACTCTCTCTCACTAGCTCTCTCTCTCTCTCTCGCTCTCTCTCTCAACCCTCAAGCTCAACGGTTCCAATCATCCCGAGAAAAAAGATATGTTAGAAACAATTCGTGTCGGATCAACTGCGAATACGACCGCTCGCGAACGACATGCTGTCTCGGCTGGGACATTCTTTGCGAGTGAGAACGGATCCTGTCGATGCGAACACTATCGTCACCCAGCGACCGAAGGGCAAAATTCAATGGAACATACTTTTTAATTCCAACGTGATCCTGCAACGAATACCAAAGTGTATATTAAAACAAAACAGCAGTACACAACACCTCTTCTGGAAACGCTAGATTTCTTTCTTTTTAGAATGCCAAACATATTATTTTAATTAATTTAATTCATTCAAAATCAAAGAGATATCTATCTAACTATCTGCATCTCTCTACCTATCTAACTATCTGTCTATCTATCTAAACATTAGCTAATCGTTCTTTGTTTGTTTTTTATCGTGCGAGAACAGTTACAAAGAATGTCCCAGACCCCGAGTCCGCAGAATCACGATCAATTTGTAGACGTTGCGTTATCATCTTTTTCTTTCAGTATTTTTTTTTGTCTGTTTTCCCTGAATATATATATATATATATATTTTTTTTTTGTTTATATATATACTTTTTTTATATATATATATACATATATTATGTAATAAGAAATAACCCACGAGCAAGGCCAAGCCATTCAGCGCATCTCTCCATCACGGGTCAATTAAAATGGTCATGAGGTTTGCCACTCTTTGAAATCAAAGCCTTGCTGGGGTTTAGGGGCGCTGGCGGCATACCCACCTTGGTTGCTTTCTCCTCCCTGATATGAACGCTGTGGATAACTGGTGTCAGCGTAATTACCGTATGCGGAGTACCCAGTGTAGTCCGGTGTCTTGGCTGAACTGCTACTGGACCCAGGTGCACCGGAGCCGGTGGTCTGTCGCGAGTACATGTCACCTGGAACATTGATTTTTCAAGTTGGAGTTATCGAACCGCCACCACTTACCGCGCCTCATTTATTCAGAAGCGGGGAAAACTGTACGCGGCCGTCGAAGATACATTTTCAATTGCCGATTAATAATTAGCAATTTTTCATTCGACAATCTCCAGTCTAAGGAGTCCGACGAGTCTAATGAGACCGATGCAAAATTTTCGTTGGTGGTGGAAACGTTCGAAATTATTATTAAAGTAATAAAGTCTAGAATTTTGTAGCGCGAACGACGATGCTCAAGTTTACGAAGCCCCTTAATCAAGGAAATAAATTGAACAAGCAATTAAAAAGTGTATCCCCGACATCAGACGTTCGTTGAATATGTTAGTGTCTCTTTGGAGATAGCGTATAGTTGTACTTGTATAAAATACCAAGACCAGTATATGAGACCGAAACACGTTCGAAGCGTGTTCCAGCTTTCGCTCTTCGTCCGATATTAATTACTTACAAAGCCGACGGCGTAATTTTATAAAGGAGATCCAGGAAAGCGAGTATAATCGGGCAGAGAGAAAGTCGTGTGCATATACTGATCTCAGAATTCTACGCGACTGAATCGATGTCTATTGTTACTCAACTATCACAAACATGTTCCACGGACAAATCAATCACTGGGAATAGTACAATTCGACAAGAGAAAATAGACATGGATCCGAGGCCAGAACTCTGCTGGTAGGCAGTACAGGAAATGAAAGGAGCGAGAGTAGGATTGTTCCATCATACTTTACTTGCGAATCATTGCTAATCGTTGGAAGAAAAAAAAAACGAAAAAAATATATAAATACAATCAGGAATTTAGATATTCGTCCGTCTCGAGCAACGAAATGAAAATGAATCTAATGAACTAATTACCAAATACCTGCTCTATTGTCTAATTAGGCGCCAATGTAATCAGCTATTGTACACTAGGAGGTACTATTTCAGAAAACAAAAAATAACCAACGTAAGCAGAAAGAAAATACTTGTATTGGTTCACGTGGGTCAACGAAACAGTAAAGATAGTTGAAACAAGTTACCAAAAACTGAAAAACACAGTGAAACGATGAATGAGGAGAGTGCGATGTATTGGATGATCACTACTGTTGCCGGCTAACAATCAGAAGCGTAAAAGAACTATGAACAAGCGTAGCTCTCTAAAATAGTTCACTACATACTCTAATCGCAATCGTGTCTTTCTAGTTAACGGTCTCACTTTAATTTCCAGTACGTCCTCGTGTGGCTCGTACGGTCACGCATGCCTTCGGCCCAAAAAGCGAACCAACAAATTCACAAACAAATTGGAAAAAGAAGGACTTCTGGGATCGAGGGATGTCTTCGCGTGGGATCGAACGTACATTTGTTAAAAAAAAAAGAAAGAAATAACAAAGAAATTAATCTAGGTCGTCAAAATGCTTTTTATTCCGACCCCAATGCATACAAGCTCTTGTATCTCCGTAAACTTCGAACAAAAACACTATCAACCCTTTCGGTACGAGCGCCGGATATATCCGATATCCATCTGATGACCAATATGGACGAGTGCCGAATACATCTGGCATCCATGTAAGCCATATTTCTGTAGGCCATTTACAGAATGTTTACAGGAAACATTTAAAGAAAGATTTAGAAACGGATCAAGCATAGTCATTACTTAACGCTTAAGAAAATCTTCGTACAAAAGTGGACTGACCCTGCGTTATGTGCGCATTTTCGGCGCGGCACCCCGTACAGTGGGGAGTGTCACGGCGGACAAACGCGCTCGTACCGGAAGGGTTAAACACGATCCCTAAGGGGCCGGGAAACTTCGTTGTGCAACACGCGTGGCAAGGCAGCGTTAACACTAGATCTACTAAAGTGACATCACTTTACTTCAGAGAAGCAAGAGCAGTGCATTGATAAATTTGTAGGAAGGAAGTACACGTCGAACGCATCTTCGTTGTCTCTAAACTAAAAATCTTCATCCGATTGGATTAAAAAGCAGAGTTCCAGTGTTAACGAGCACAAAGAGGAAAAGACCGAGAGATCTCTAAGAGGCAACATTTAGAATGGAGTCGTCTTTTTCAAGGAAAAAGAGGACGGCCAGGGGTCAGCGTACTAGTCTAAACAGATAGAAACAGAGAAGGAGACAGTAGGTGGCTTTAGCTAGAGTCAAACATTTGGTACTGGAGCTGTACGATGCGAAAGGGTGGAAAGAGGAAAGACGTTGATTGACTGAGCTTGAAGACTCACCCTGCGGGCCAGAGGGGTTCGAGTTGGAGTTGGGCTGCGAGGAGTTGGGCTGAGGGGGCTGAGGTGGTGGCTGGGTCCCTGGAGGGGGCCCATTCTGTGGCATGTTCCAGGAGTTCCAGGAACCCCCTGGCCCGCCCCCCGCAGCCCCGCCAGTACCCGCCGTGGGCCCGTAGCCCCCTGAAGCGGCCGCCGCCGGCCCACCTGCGATCATCAACCACACAAACACGTGTCACCGACCACCGACGTCTTCTTATGCAGTTTTCTCAGGCTACGTTCACTCTGCCGATCCGCGCCCCTCGTGTTAAACTCTCTCGAGAACCCTCGACAAGGTCCTCTCTCTTCCGAGGTAGCCCTCGTGTGACTCGAGAAAATGCAAATTGCTCCAGACATCGTCTTTCCCTTCGACATTTCTTTTATGACTAGCTTACGATTCGGAATTCGTTTGATCGGATAATGGTTTTCGAGGTGTGTTAGGCGTTAGGTGTGGCTACGTTAGACGGCAACAGGACAGCAAAGTGAACGTACCCTAACTTGGTCAACCACTTCAGTGCCAAGCATGCACCGATAAGCGGTGTTTATTGAAATGGAATCATGAGACTTCAAAGAAAATGCTCAAAATACCAGCGGATCGCCGCACCGTCGGCGACCGTTTAATTAATTGCTGTAAAAAAGATGCGAACTTTAAGCAACAGACTCCAAAGCGTTTATTCTCGATCGCTAATGGTGAGAAACTTACCTCGGACATCTCTTCTATTCTGAAAACATGTGAAAATCGTACAATAATGGAATGAGACAATCGTTCGTTTTCTCTCTCTCTCCTAGAGGATGATGAAGGCAAAAATTCAAAGGAACGACTAAAGCTTGCTCGCTCGTTGCAGTCTTGGCACTTGAATGGGATTCGTTTTGCTAATGAGAATGTACCACGCGATCTTTCGCCAACGTTTGCGCTTGATACTCGATAATGGAGGATCGAGCCCAAACGTTATAGAAAAATACTATGTTCGCGAAATTTTCCGTTGTTCTTCGCGCAACCGATGAGAGATGATTACAGTACGAGGAAATTGTTCGTCCGCGAAAAGATATACGCGCACGTATGTATACACATCAAGCAATTAAATGAGAGTCTGAACCGACGCAATCAATCCGAGAGATACTCGTTCATGATTGTCCTAATGTATTCTCTTTCCATATTGTGTAACCTCCAGGGGGCATCGAAATAAAGATAATTAATCACGCGTTCTATAGGTATTGGTTATAGTTTTCTTATTCTCGATTTCTCTCGTGTTCATGTATCTTTCTCTTTCTTCTCCTAACATCTCCAAGGAGGATGGAGGGGGAGAGGGCAGGATCAAAGTTATTGTTAATCTTTATAACTATGACCTTATCATGGTGTCGTCCTTAAGTAACAAATGAAAACATACTCGAAACAGAACGCTGACATTACATTTCCAAATACGGAGCAGCTCGATCGAAAGAACGTACAAGACAATCGTATGTTTATCCTCAAAATTTGCTAATTAGTTAGTTCTTTTGACTCTGTTTCAATCGCGTTTATGGAGTCGATTGAGCATAAGTAACTACGAAATCATGTGGGGAACTCACCATAGCTGCCGTAACCTTGAGTAGCTGCTGCAGGTTGTACGTTGTAACTGCTACTCCATTGGTGATGAGGAGGTGGGGGGATCTGCTGTTGTTGAGGAGGACCCGGAGGTGCACCCCAACCTTGAGAATTATACTGAGTGGTGTAACCAGCATATCCACCAGTTTGAGGACTTGTCCCCCAGCTCTGATACTGCTGCATCATATTCCCTGGCGGTCCCATGGGTCCCCCCATCATCGGGCCACCCATCTGACCATTAGGCCCACCCATGGGTCCCATATTCCCAGCCATTCCCATCGGAGGTCCACCAGGTTGCGGAGGACCCCATTGTCCTTGATGACTGTCGTTCATTTTACTGGAAGAATCACGTGGCTCCGCACGCTTGATCTCAACCTGCAACCAGAAAGAGCCGAACCGAATTATAGAAATCATTTCTCGCCGGATCCGCGGCTACTTTTCGATCGATGGAGATCACCGATATAGTTCTAATTGAAACAATCCCGCTGTCGCCTTAAGTTCCGTTTACAATGATATATCGAAGCTTTTGAGAGAACTCGCCAAGTCTTACATAAATTCTAATATGCTAGATATTATACTAAATTTTTCAAATTGTATTACTCGCATCGTACGAAATTTTCATTTGCTTTTTCTCTTTTCGGTTTGATCTTTTGGTTTCTCCTTTAACCGATACTTACATAATAGTAAACTAAGCGTACAGTTGTTCAGCGTTTAACATTAAGTACGAGAAAATAGTGTAAAATAAAATAAGTACACTATAACTAACAGTATTACGGTTAAACCTATGTAAGAGTAATGTAATTAAATTAAATTATGCTAACGATCGTACTTATTATTATTTTACATTACATTATTCTAGGGATATAATGTATAGATAATTTGTATAAATTATATATGCTAGTGTGTAGGTATGCTATACCTGTTTTCCGTTCAAGTTGACGAAATGCTCGGCGACACATCGGTCCACTGCATCTTCATCCTCGAAGCTGAGAAAGCCAAATCCTGCCGTCCAAACGTGATAGTATATCAAAAATTGCCCCACATATTTACACAACAAATACACCTTTCATTTAGTTTTTTTGTTCTTTGCTCATTTGTTCTCATTTTATATGTAGCCGTTCTAATAACTTTTGTTTGTATTGTGAAGATTACAGCTTGTTCATACAATTCCGTTTAAACTGTCCATTATATCTAATTACTTTTGCTAGTGTTAATGATAATAACAGTGACTAGGCTTAATTTGGAGTATTTTTGAGTGTATAAATAATTTAATATTACAATTTTAATATCGATTAAAAACATGCATCCTCTAGAAGTTTTAAGATACTTATTATTACTATCCATCTTATATGTGCACATAAAGCTTAATGTACTTAATCTAAAAAATTTATGATGGCTGTTTTGAAGAAGCTTTTCTTTTCGATTGTATTTAGTTATTTTTCGTGATTCTAATTAAGCGAAAGAATAATATCCACATCGGATATTACGAGAGAGTTTCTGTCCATCCGTGTATCATTTACGACGATGATTTTATATTATCTGCAGATAATTGTCATTTTTTTTAAGTTATGGCATTGAAAGATTAATGTACAAAGCAATCCACACTGTTAAAAAAAAATAATAAGATGCGCAAAACGAAAATTCATTTGAGCTATGAGAACACACTAACTTCTTGAATGCAGCCACCAAAAATGAATAAATATTTAAAGAAGAAAGAAAGATATAAACGTGTATCTCGTATTTACTAAATTGTTTAACCACAAGGACACCAATGTTAAGGCAAAAATTATTCTATACTAAAAAGCCATAGAAATTAATGATACCCTAGTTTTATTTTAGTTATAAATTGTATACTAACATTT